AAAAAATGCGCGCTGCACAAGAGCGGTATGTCAGATTTTTACAAACTTAGTGTCAAAATGACCGCATGAGTTACTCGAAAAACTCCTTAAGGCTCAACTCCTGAAAACTGTGGCAATATTGGGAAAACATTCAAAGCGGAGGCTAATTCCGCCCCGGCTCAATTAGGGTTAGGTATATTTTTCTTTAGGCTTGACTTTTCGGACAGACAACACTATGCATGTAAATGTTAATCCGAACTGCCCGGATAAAGTGGGGGAAGGAGGTTAAAAGCCAAAACAACAACAACAACAACAACAACAGCAACTGAATCCGAGGAAGATCACTTGTCGTTCATATACGCAGCGTGAATTTTGACAGAATTAAACGCTCTTAAGCTCAACCAAGCGGGAAGTTTCCTGAAGTTGTCTTTCCAGACAACCAGACAAACATTTCCCGAAAACAAGCCAGGTCACTTCCGGTTGCCATTGTTTTGCGACTCCACTGTCCACTGAAGTGCCTTGCTTTTCCACAAAAAAACCCATTTTCAAAGGAAGAAGCCTATCGTACCAACTGTGGTTTTTCCAAGGTAAAAAGAGAAGGATCTTGCCTCTCCTTTGTTCTTATATAATGGCGCCTTCCGTGTTATTGCTGTCGACATTTTCTGGTCGTTGCTTCTGTTGTCACGAAACCTTTGAAACAAAGAACATCTCCCACGCTGGCGTTCCGTTGCTCACCCCCCCACCCTTTCAGGAAACTGGCAAAGGGTAAAGACATTGTCAAGCCTTCATCAGATCACAGATTTCAAAACATACCGCTCAACACTTCGACGTGCGCACGGTATGTGCCCACTGAATGTACACATACACGTATGTACAGTACATGCGTGGATATCGGATAAGGACAAGTTACCCACAATGCCTTGCGCGTCGATCGCTAGTTCCTTCACAACGAGGGTTAAACACATTTGCCCTTCCCAGCTCCCTGTTACGGCGGTATTTGGGGGGCGAACGAAAAGCTGCCAATGGTTGTAAACAGCGAATGATTACTACCGATCAATCAGATCGAAGTATGGAAGGCCACCAGGGTTTTTGCAGTTAACCGCCCGTGCTTACTTTGAACACAGGTACGGGTTACAAAAAGTACAGGAAACGTGTCGGGCGTGCTGCGGGAAACATGATCTCGGAGGTCACATGAACCAATTTCTCACATTTCAAAAGATCTTAGCACATGCAAACTTGCCAAGGAATGAAAAATTTGTAATTTCTCCAGGTTCTACCCATGTGCACATTTTTGTACTCTTCAATGGGACAGTACAACACAACACGAACCGAGAGGATGGCGGGCTTTATAATCGAAGCAAAATTGTATGAGCCATGGTTAACTCTGGCGACTTGTATACGGGGAACCAACAAAAACCGCACTGTGCACAACTGCTTAACTATTTCTACACTGGTGTTTGATAAGCTGTCTACTCTGAACAATGAGTTAAGACCAACAGTACTGTCTTTTGGGAATGTCACCTATTGTAGGAAACACAAACCGACGCACCTACTTTTTTTTCTCAGTATGTACATTGTACATTCAATCTCCCAGGTGCCGATTTTGGTCGCCGTGGGCGGTTACTGGCAAGTAACCATTTGATACAATAAAGCGGCGTTCAGTCGCTGAAAACGTGCATATGACATCATTCGCGGCACCAGTAAAGCTCCAAATCTAGTCAGATACCTCCTGATTGGTCAAATGTTTACGTGACTGGCAGGCGATTGGAAATGACGTCATAACTCCGCCCCTGACTAGTCTATAGCGCATGAACGTTCCGCTGCACGCATGCGCAATGCAATGGTAACGTGTATTCTGAAAGAGGAAAGGGCCACAGTTTGTATGTTCAGCCCCACGTCGGCAGAGCGACGGGGGTCTCTTGATAGCTTTATTCAGAGTCGTGCCATGAGCAGGAGTATGAATAGGCCTTTTGCGAGTTGACTAAAATCTGGCACACTGAGTTCTTCAAATTTGCGTGAACACAACACTTTGAATTCTCCGAGTCCATACTAAACACTGTTGCTATACCTCGTGATTCGGGGCAAGCTTTTGATTAGTTACATAAGAGACTCCAGTGCAACAATACACTAATCTCAATGGATAAGAAAGGTACAAAGGAACCAGTCCATTCCAGAGATGGTGGTCGCTATGCAAAAGCTTGCCCCGAATCCACAAGGTATGGCAACAGCGCCTTTAGTCTGGGGAATTCGAATCTTTATGTCTATGTGCAGTCAGATAACTCAGTGTACCAGATTTTATTCAGATTTAGCTCGCAAATGGCTTATTGACACATGGTAAGCATCGGAATATGCCTTCGGCAGTGCACTCTACCGGATGCACGTCAGTATAGTACACTGAGTACTATTTTCCTGTATTATAATCAGCTCGGCATACGGGCATTCATTTCATTGTCAGGGCAATGAAATAGAAAGAAAAAATACCATCACGATTAAGAGTTGTGTCGTTAAACCATTTTAGGATATTGGGTTTAAGCAGCTTATCCGTGGTGCATGCAACGTGCCGTCAGTTACTATTGGCAGTAATGTTTCTGTCCTTTTTATACAACCAATAGGGGGCGCAACTGAGATGCAGCTGCCCTGTATAACATGAACAGACCACGTCAAAAATTCTTTGCGGCATGAAACGAGGGCGCTCCCCATCCATGTTGCGAGATGAAAATGAGTCCCTGTACTGAAAATCAGTGGTTGAAAAACCAGAACAGGGTCTGCGCGATGTAGGAAGACCGATTCCCGGTGGAGTCGCTCACTGAAAGCTGCCACAAGGAAAGCTGAGAGAAGCCGCTAAAGCGCTGTCTTTATCCCAGGAAAATCACAGTACATTGTCGATACCTCCGACTGAAACTTGAAAAATTTTAGGTTCAGGATTACACTGACTATTCCTCTGAGGCTACGGATTTGTAAAATGACGAAGCCTCGGCGTTTGGGTGGCATGTAATCAGCACGAAGCGCCTTCGAAGACCTTTTCGAAATACAGTGTAATGGAGTAGAAACTGTATCGGGCATGCAACCTGGTTGCAGTGGTCTTTCTCCTTTGACATTAATTTTCTTATCGGTGCATTCGACCGAAAAATCTAGGGATGAAAATGTAACTATGTCTTAAATGGAAGCTTGCCAAGAGCAGTGGATACTATCAACCGTGAGACCGTTAACGTCAATGAAAGGGACTTGTTAATCTGGAGACTTGGCAGCTTGCTAATTATCAGGCCTGACCTTTTCAGTTTTCCGCACTGGCAAACTGTTCAGACGTGCAGTGGAACTCCACTAAGCCTGTCAAAACACACGCGCGCCACAACACAGCTTTAAAAACCCGCCGTGGCTTCCAAAAAAGATGACTATAATATGACTAGTCGACTAGTCATACTATCCACCTGTCGATCTCCATAACCACGATCAGTGCATCTCACCATTAGATCTCCATTATAACATCCGGTCCAACTACCCACAGGTAGAAACAATTAAAGCTTTTAAATTAACATGTTACCCTTCGAAGCTGACTGGTTATTTATTACAATGGGTGCCCGAATAGCGTAACAAGTTTCGTTTCATTACGTGGTATCGAGGCCATAAGAGGAAACATAGGAATTCGGACGAGCTGGCTTGCGACGCGTCGTGGAGTTGGATTAACAAAACATCGAGGTTACTTTTTTTCTTACCTATTTCAGCCTGTTTGCTGTTGGGGAAAGGATCCATTCTGGAAGTTATTTAATTCATTGCCCTATTTTTTGGCCCCGGAGTTTGCCTTAATCGGGGGGGGGGATTCTTTAACATGACAGTCTTGGTTCAATTGCGGCTCTGCAGGGTTCCTGCACAGGGCGCCCTCTCGCACTCAATAGCAAGCTAGAGGGCGCGAATTGCGGGGCGCCACCTTCAAACATCGAGTAAAGAAGTAAAATCACACTCCTCCCCGTCACAAACTCTTGGAACGAAAGCTGCTTAATTAAATGGTGTGAAACCCAAACAAAGATGTGCTGGGGCACCATATAAAAGCAGGAGTATTGCCTGAGATTGGCATCTCTACGGAGGAGACCCATTTTCAAATAAATTGAAACATGGAGCTTGTACATATATTCGGAGTGATAATATTGTTTGGAGTTGGCCTACACGTGAATTCGGTATAATTCAGTGCCAGAGGCATTTCCAGGGCAATGACAAACACACCTTTCAACCTGCGATTCCGAACAGCACCCATAATCGACCCTAACACAAGTCCATTTTGCGCTTTAATTTGCATAACCTCGTAAGAAATGGTTCAACACGATGACGGGTACTGCTGTAGATTTCGGTGTCAAGACCGACCCGGAGTCACCGCAGCAATACCCCCAAAAGGATCGGAGGCCTGCGTGTAAAGGACCCCTCTGTAGCTCGTCATACAGTCGATGGGAAAATGAAACACCCTTCAACCTTTCTACCATTGCTTTCACGCAACAAATATTTACTAAACGTTTCCAAGACTACACATTACAAAGGGTGCCTGTTTGGGGCACAACATTCAGCTTGCCGATTCCAATGGAATCGATGAAGCATCTTGGCAAGTTCCTGTATGCCTTTTCTAAACCATTTCCGTCTAAGTGAAAGGCAATTGAGTTACCAGGACTGCATATAAGCCAGCGCCGAGTGTATTTTTAGTCCATTGTTCGTAAGTACACCTGTTCTAAAGATAACGGAAGTTTTACCGCACTGTGCGAAATCCACGCAACAAATGCAAATAATTATACATGAACAGAATGGTACTTACTTTCAAGTACTTTCCTCGCAGCCTTGGTCCTCAACAGGTAGGCCTAGCTGATATCTTGTGAGTCCCAACCAACAACGTTTCTTCCTATCTACAGTACATGTATATAATATCTGTCCTACTTCTACATACCTGCATGCCTAAGGCCTGTGATAGACACAAACAAGTTGGTAATTAATTTCTTTTGAACCTAATGAAATGGAAATTCTAACAAACGGCCACAAAAATCTTCCAGTATTCTTACTGCTTTTATTTATCAAAATCCATTAAGCTCCCCAGCCGACTAATGAGTGAAAAAGTTGAAAATAATTACTGCAAAAAATTCAATTCATATTTCACAAATTCTGTTGATTATTTGCTGTTCAACCATTAAGCCTAACGTCTGTACAAAACAAAGCATCAATTATATCCACTCATAATTGATTGTATAAACCACAACCCTGTGCACATGAAAGAAAACAAGTGAAATAGCAGTACTGTTTAAACGGCGAATTTATACATAAATCAGCATTTCTTTTTATCCCATGCAAAAGTGTAACGACAGGATTACTTATGAGAAAAAAATTTGTGCACACCTGTGGCATAGCCAGTGTTCTCTCCACAGACGGTGAGGGGGAGGGGACGAAACTGTGGGGTGCCCAGAACTGGTTAAAGGTGTTAACTATGGGATGTGCTTCAAAGTAATAGTTTCCAGTTTAAGCACTAATTAATGTTACAATTTATTGCAAATGACTCCAAATAACTGCAATGTAATGTTTACATTTAGCTCTCTTCCAATGGGGACGACAATTTTTCATTGGAGGGGGGAGGGGCAAGCATAGCATGTCACGGTGAAATAGTTTTTAAATTCAGCATTTTCCAAAAATACTTTAACTAAAACCATGTCACATGCCACAACTGTCTAGGATTCGAATGCAATTTATCCAGCTAAGCTTTTGTCTGGAAGTTACTGGTCGAAAATGTGTAGTACACACAGTGATGTCTGAATTAAAATATCAGGATGCAAATTATATATAACGGTTTGCCCGTACCCAACGTATATTAATACATCTTGAAAATATCAGGATGCAATTTCCCAACCCAGTATGAAAAATATACATGTAACAACTTACATTATTGTTCAGGTTTACATTGAATCTTGTAAAAATGGTATGGTCTGCACTCTCTTTTTTCCGCACATGTACATGTACAAACATCTGACAAGAACAATCATAAAGGCACGCTAAAACACCCAAGTTTCTAGTTTTAACAAGTTCACCCATGATGTTTTAAAAGGTGACGTAGGCTTGGTAAGGTTCTAGGTCCTATTGGTTGACTCTAAACAGCCCAAAATTTCCCTTGAATATTAATTCAAGTATTCATTCATGCAATTGCAAGTTTCACCCACATCAGATGAAGAGAAGCAGGTTGCTTTCAGCAGTGACATCAAACTTAAACTAGAAAAACTGTCATTCTAATGGCTTGACAGCCGACTTCTCATTCTAATGGCTTGACAGCCGACTTCTCATTCTAATGGCTTGACAGCCGACTTCTCATTCTAATGGCTTGACAGCCGACTTCTCATTCTAATGGCTTGACAGCCAACTTCTCATTCCAACAGCACTTCTGAAATGAAACAATCCAATACCTCCGGCACCAAAAAATACACAAAGTTAACAAAATTTAACAAAACGATTTACTAACGAAAGCACCTTTTACATTCAAATGAGGCATATGAACATCATTGCACGCAATTTTTATTTATTCTCTGTACCTTTCAGAAAGAAAAGTGTCCATCAATGCAAGTCACTGAGGTGTAATTATTAACCACTCAACACCTGTAAAACCACAATGTCCAATTAATTACAAGCAGAATTTTTCTGCACAGCAAATGTAAGGCCTGCTTTCTGGAAAGCTGCAGTGACATTTAAAACTGTTCATGAGTGTTCTTTGGATCCTGATGGCAGACGACACAGAACAGCCACACCACAATAACCTTGATTTCTCAGGCACATGGGAGAAATCATCAACGCAAGTCAAGTCCACATGACCAGGAGTAAGAACTTCTATCAAGCAGTTGCATTCATGCAGGACTCAGGTATTAATAATTAGCCACGAAACAATCCCCCAAACAGCCTGAACTCTCCTTTTGGAGGGCAAACTGACAAGATGACTACTACTTTTCCGGTTGCTGCCAGTTTCTTCACGAACGAAACGAGACAGAGGCTGAGGTTTCAGCATGTTAAGCTCACAAGGCATTTCGGGAAGTGTAGATGTGTAGAAAATGATTCAAAGGGAGGCAGGAAATCTGACTAAGGCTGGTAATTCATTCTAAACAGCCCAAAGCTAGAGAGTGTTTCATTCATTTACAGGACCACTGGCTTGCAAGATTTGCTGCATCATGGTAAAAGCAGCATTGGGCGGTAATGGCTAAACTTTGCCACCTCAGAATTAGACAGACAACATTGCACCTTTTGTTCTAATCCTTTAAATCACATCCTGCAAGGCCCCAAATTCAAGGAAGATGACGAAGGGCTTCAATTTTTATTGGTCAACTTCCTAACAAAATGCATGTATGTGGTTTCGTTTCTTTCCTGGCTCTTAGGAAAGATGGAGTTGAACCTTCTCTCTATCTTCTGAGAGAAATTGAATGCTCTCAAGACAGGATACTGTTAAAATCGTCTACTTTTTTCAGACAGAACTTCAGGCTATCACTTCTAAACTTCAGCGACCTATCTCAGGCAGTTTTGGACAGCTCATTTACGCAAGAAGTACACCATAGACTATGTAATTTTAAAACCACATAGCCTACTCAAACAATTGCACAGTTCAGCAGTGAAATACATGAACAAAATATTCAAACAGATGCCCTGCCTACTGGATGGGTTTTACATGAACAGAAAAATGATGAAGGAAGGGCACTCCCTCTGTCAACATCATTGGCCATCATTTCTGAAATCGCACCTTCAGCTTCTCATGTATCCTCTTCCGGTCGCTTCAAGGAGTCGCTTCAGAATGTTGGCAGACTGTATTCTCTGGCCAGGAGCAGACTCAAACACGCAGCTGTAGAGGAGGTTGGACATGTTGGGCTCAAGGATTTCTGGTATGTCATGCAGCAGACCCACTGGCAACAGAATAAAATGCAGTTTCAGAAATTACAAGTTTCTCACTTTCGATGCAAAAGGAGATCTTGCCAGCACAGCACGGTTTCTTCAGTATCATCTAAAAGATTTCCAGGAGGCTTTCACAGGAATCACTCATCAACTCAATATAAACAGATATATAAAATAAATTCCAAGTGCAACAAACAAAGTAATTATGCCTCTCTGGGAACTGTTGGAGAGAAAGAAAAATACAAGCCTCAAAGCCAGTATCTCTGCATTCCTGTGGTTCTGTGGTTGGAGTGGAGGAGAAACTCGGGGTGGGGAGTGCATTTCATCTGGGAGTAAGTATTGCTATCAAGCACCTCCTACTAATGTACCCAAGTCACTTTTCAACTGCCACAGAGAGGAAGTGGTGAAACTTATAAACCCTTTCTCCGGGTCTGGTCCTTGTCAAGACTGTCAAACAAAACTCAAAGATCCTCATGGGAGCAACATTACAGGAAATTGACAAATTTTCTTCCCAGTCCCCCACGTGACCAGTAGAGTGGTTGCAGGAGAGAACCTAATGGTACAGTGTACTCTACTTTGTCTTGGGGCTGCTATGTGAACTCGAAAATTGACTAAACTTATTCACCACATGAAAATATGTGCACATGCAGTTGCGGCATTTTCCCCTTATCTAGCCAACAGCACAATTGTAATCCAGCTCGCCTACTATAGACATTTTTGTGTTTTGTTTGGTTAGGAACGTTGCCTTCATCAACAGTGCGACCAATAGAGGTTCTGCTTGGCAGCCAGCTTTCTGGTAACTACTTTCGTTGCAGAGGGATAGCATAAAAAGGTCTACTCCACTGTATCCCTGTGGAACAAGAACTCTTACCAGAAAAATGGCTACTATGCACAATCTCTATTTTCACAACTCCCAAACCTTGGAAGAGGATTTTAAAGAAAAGAGAAATTCTCCATTTTGGAAGCTCCCATTCCAAAACCTGAGCACCGTATCTAAGCGCTGGTCAAAATCAGGAGCATTTGCAAGCAGGTACCTCGGGGAAGGACAGCAGTTACCCACTGGGGGCGGCGATTGAACATGACTCCCCTTTACCATGCCAGGGGCCCTCCCACTCAGTCACAACATGCAAGATCAAGGCCGCCGCATCCTCACTCACCTGTTGAAACTTGTTTCTCTTTCTCATCGTAAAAGTGGCGCAGGTACTTGGTGGAGTCCAGGTCTGAGAGGAGCTTGTGGCAGGCAAACAGCAGCATCACCTGTGAGTACTGTGGGACAACCCTGCAATCCTGCCCACCAGTCTGGAAGAGGCTCTTGGTGAATGTGACGAAGCACTCCTCGTCACATGCTGACTTGTGCTTCTGGCCTGAATCCAAAAGACATTTAGTGATGTAAAGTTGAATGTCCTCAACGGAGCATAACCCTGAAAAAGTTTGAAATTGAGTGCGCCTAAATACTTGCCAAAGAAAACTGAACTTTTTTTTTAGTCTGAATAATTTCAGTTTATTAATATTAACAATTTTAAATAATTCCAAAATTAAGGTTCTCATACTGCACCGGGTGAACTCCACAACCTCATCTGGTGACTGGATCTGCCAGAATCCATTACCATTGTTACACTGGGAAGATGTAATGATGTGTCCACAAGCTCAAGCCTGAGGTTTAGGAATGTATTAGCTTGACACAAGTGACTGCAGTGCGATTTTAGAAATGGCACCTTCTCGGATTGGGCTGTATACAGTCAAGTCTTCTAAAGACCAAGCAAGTCCTCACAGGATTAAACAAGTCCTCACAAGACCAAGCAAGTCCTCACAGGACCAAACAAGCCCTCAAAAGACCAAACAAGCCCTCAAAAGACCAAGCAAGTCCTCACAGGATTAAACAAGTCCTCACAAGACCAAGCAAGTCCTCACAGGACCAAACAAGTCCTCACAAGACCAAGCAAGTCCATCATAAGTTATTTCAAGTCCATCATCCTAATATGAAGCTCAAAGCCAAGCTACTGAAATGAGGTTTGTGACTTACGCATTAATAAAAGCACTCTGGTGTCACTGTTTATTTCTTATTACTTTCAACATATAGTGTACACCATTGGTTAAATTCCCTAACCCGGACTACCGCATAATCCTGAATTATCTTACTTGAAAGAAAGTAGGCCTAAATGACAGCCTCAATCAGTCTCTAAAATCTACCGCATACTACCGCATAATCCTGAATTATCTTACTTGAAAGAAAGTAGGCCTAAATGACAGCCTCAATCAGTCTGTAAAATCTGTCCACCCAGAATGCTGTAGTTTTCCAGAAAACAGAAATTTTGTTCTTTTGTTTTTACGATGGTCGGCTGACCATTGTATAAGAGTTCATTTCACTTTGCACATCACATTCTTTAAAAGGTGCCACTTTTAATTTCTTGTGTGTAGTGTTTGCAGATGTTGTGGGAGTTTCCATTTACGAATGGATAAACCTAAAAGCAGCTCAAAATATAAGGAAACTCACCAAAAGCACTGGAAACTGAAATTATAGAAACGTGAGTGTATAAGGTGTAATGTAGAAAATAAATTGGATCAGTGTGAAGTTACGGTAAATTTCATTCAAGGAAAGGATTTTCTTAATGCGAAAACTTTGCCAATTCAAAATCACCCCTAGAGCATAATGGTATGATCTAAATATGATGGCTGTCTCCAAGCAGAATGGTGAAAAGGATTTTTGTCAACAAAAAGTATGATTTCCACATGTTAAACCTACTATGTTTCAAGACACAATGATACTTCTTTGCTTATAATTATTAGTGAATCAACTAAGAATGGCGTTTTTAGACTTTCATTGATGTGGAAAGTGATGTGAAAGTGCGGTCACAAGAATGCTTGCGCGTGCAGTGCATTATCATATATATAGGCCTACTTGACTGTGTTCCTGGATGAAGTTTTTTCATGAATCTGCAATGCTACATTGTCCAGAAGGCCCATTACTCCAAGGTAAATTCACTGATTACTCCTAGCCCTTGAAAACTGCTCCATTTTAAAGGGAATGCAAACCTGTCATGCCTGTTTCTCACCCTGACCCCGTGGATGTTGTTTGCTTACTACAAACGGCATGTAATATCCAAAGATTTTACGCAAGATAAAATACAAGACCTTTGATTTATATGTAAGCGTTGAAAATGCTGTGCTGTTTTTCTTGAATTTCAGTTTTTTCGCAGTTGACCCAAACATGAAAGAAATTGGTGGAATATAAGTTGCAGTGAATAATATAAACTGTAATCAGCCAATCTCATGGAATTACGACAAAAAACAATGGTGTTCACTACCTTTAAGCATTTGGCCTGTGATTGACTTTGACTGAAATTGACTGCAATAAATACTGTCTCAATAATTTACCTGGCGATATGTCACGCTTGTCTATGATCATTATATCCTCCAGATCAAGCAACTGTATGTGTCCGTCGGCTGTCACTGCAAAATTGTCATAGGAGAAATCTGCAAAAATGACCATCCAGTCACTGCTGGCGTTCTGGAAATCGTGGATCATCTGCAAGATCTGTCGAGCCAGATCAGCACGAACGTCCCAGGATGCGTTGAGATATTCACTCAGCGGTACCCCAGCTTCAGCCACAACGATCATGCGGCCGCACTCGCCCAGATAGGCCGGGAAGTACTTCTGGAGTTCAGGAACATACTGATGGAAAAACTGATCAGAAAGAATACACAATGAGTCAAATGAAACAAGGTTTAAGCACACTTTTTCCCATATTGCCTTTTTGGCATAAACATTTGAAAGAGTGATCAAGGTCATCATTCTATAAACTTGGATATGAGTATCTGCAAATGTCTTTTTATTCCCACTGTTCAAAATGTTCATTGGGCCTGTAAGGCTGTATACTCCAAAGTATCTCTGTTGAATTCAGATTTATGATGTTGTGAAGTACAATGGATTTGTTTTCGGCTTTAGATCAAACAAAAAATAGATGTGTTTCAAATTACCTGACCCAACCTAGAAAATCACACAGAACCGATATCTTTTTATTCGACAAACCAATAAAATAAAAACTTATGATACCTTGCCCTGAGCCTTCTTTTGTGTACATCGTCCTGTACACTGTATTGTTTTAATTATTTTTTTTGCATGAGCTGGACGGCTCTTGTATGTTTGTATTGCAACAACCAGCTGCTTTACTACTCAATCATGGTGCTGATATGTAATATTGACGTGCACATGCACAGTATTAATCTGACTTAGTACGTGTTACAAATATAAGCACCCCCCCAAACAAAATACAGACTATCATCCGACCCTAATTTTTTTGGCTATAAAATTTCGAGTAAAAATTTTTTTACCCAACCAACCACCCTAATTTATTTTTCACTGTAATAGGAAACACAACTAATCTTTTGTTTGGCCTTATGTAACTAAAGATAATTTCTGCTGGTTTCCCAGTGTTACATAGCATAACAGCTAGCTATACCCCCACTCTCCTGGATCTTTCTTTTTTTATTCTATTTCCAAAAAATTCAGTATCCATGAAGTCACTACATTATGTTGAAATGCGCATTTTGGCATACCCTGCAACAGTCTGCTCCAGCTAGAACCCACCAACTACAACACAAAATTGAATAGCCAAACATCCCACACCAGGTAACCCTGCCTTCAGAACATTTTACTCTATCACATCAGCACACTATAGCCTGCCTTGAGGAGATTATGCAAGCCCATTCATCATTTCTGACACAATAACAGAATTAGGAAATGGTATTATGTCTATCTGCTGTTCCCTTTGGAAGGTCGGAAAGGTTAGATATGTACGTGAACTACCACGGGGCAGTCTTGATCCCACTATGAATGGACCCAGATTTTTTATAAAGTAACAGTGCCTGGAAAGTGCAAGATTTCAACAGTAAACTAGAACTGTCCCCATCTCTTAATCATCCTAACCTCCTACATCCTCCCCAGCGCACCTTCTTTGCAACACTGCCAAGTTTATTGGCACATCGCATAATTTGTGGCTATTTCTTTACATGTGCATGTCATTGTCAAGCACCTAACTCAGAGCACCAACAGGAAACCTACCCATGATGAGTGAAATTTCAACAGACTGGAATGTAAGCTGTCTTTTGGAGGACAGGAAGCCAAGTATTTCTGGCTTCCTGGAAAGGGAAATCTTGATTATATTGTGACTCTCCCAATGTACAGAACATCACCATCTGTTCTGCAGCTCAGCAAGAAAACCCCAGGCTGAGGGGAATTAGTTCTCCATGTAGCCAGGGAACAGAGGAATGATCCGGGAGGGTCAACTTTGGGGCTTGGTACTCTAAAAAAATATTTCATGAGGCTACGACAGTAACATTAGTGAGTAGTTGATACTTGTACGAGACTGACATTTTTAAGTTAGTCACGACCACAAACTTCAATAATGAAGTGCTCTTTTGTAGACTGCAGCATTAATGTTTGTGGCAAGAGGCAATGGTGCGATAACCGTCATTTCCTCCTGACTAATTTTAAAAAAACAGCCGCAGACGAAAACACTTCCAAAGCTATTTTCAGCAATATTCAATCACTATCCATGTGTGACTTAATTTTGATCCAAATCAACCTCAAAGGCACACACTTCTTGATTTATTTTTATATTTCCATTTTGAGATGAAAAAAACCAATTAAAGTCCACTGTGGAATTGAGGAAGCAATGCACAAAGTGGAAAGTGCATCACATCACATCACAAATAACACGTCGTTATTTTCATTGTGACCCATCCTGACTAGCTGGAAATGACAAGCCCTATTATTTATGATGAGGGAAAGACACGGACGGACGGTAAAAGTCTATTGGTATTGCTAGTTATGCCTCACAAATGATTGACCAGGATTGTGCCAGTGCAGTTGCAGCTTCCGTATGCTGAACAACACCAGATCAGTGGTGTCAATCTAGATTGTCAGGACTTCACAATCAGACACTAAATAAAATTAGATCATCCTCTCATTGAACTACCCATTCATTTCCCAAGTATGACTAACAATGATGACAGCTACTACTTTGTTGGGTCACATTCTTGTGTGGCCATTAACACACAGGCCTGTCAGCCCATATCATCCCTCCTCTCATGTAGGTCAGTTTGATCTCAAGTAAAAACCTGCTCATCAGATAAAACATTTGCATAGCTGCTCTGTGCAAATGAATACGAATCTGGGCTGGTTCTCTCCAGAACACATTATTATTAGTGGCAAATGCTCCAGCTACAACTAGTTTGTTTCCTGAATGTGAATCTCACAGCAGAGCCCTGAACCTGATAAAACCAGCAGAACTGAAGTTGATGAAATGGGAAATGACTGAATTAACCCGTCTACACATTTCTCTTGCCCAAGTTTTTTTAAGGATAGTGTTGTGTGCAAGATCTTTAGGAAATGCTTAAAGAATAACACCTGCATCTCTTACGCCGGTTGCCAATTATCCCGTTACCTATATGGTTTCAGAACAGTCATTTATTATTTCAGCGTTACGAGTGTCCTGCTGTCATCACAGCTTTGCTGATAGACGCATCATCCTTTCTTCAAAGTGAGCTCATGAATGTCAGGTGTTCAATGAAGTGAAATACCATCTGCAGCTAAGAACATTAGTAATGACCCAGCATGTTCTCTAGCCATATGCTTCACCTCAGAGTATACTAAAAAGAACTAACCAACCTTGACAGCCCAAAAAACAAGCTTTAGAGTTTGATTTTCTCTGGACAAACAAACCTTCACTTCTGGCATAAACAGGAATGGCTTTCAAACACCAGTGTAATCTGGAGGAATCCAGACAGGGTTAAAGCATGGTTTGGTTTAAGGAGTGATTTCCCTGACAACCTGTCCGTCAGCAGTTGATAAAGGATCAGAAATGTCAGATAGCAAGGCCGTCCACGAAAAACTCTCAGTAGACATACATTAACTCTGCAACTCCCAATGTTGAGAATGGGAATGCCCCAAAAACTCCTACTCCATTGACTTTTGATTAGCTCCTTTTATTTTGCCATATGTTTTCCTATTATTCCAGACTTCAAAGCCATTCACAGTAGCCTAGGGACATAATTTTATTGTTCCTCAGGGTGACTGTTCTTCCAAGGGTGCAGCTTGCGAAGGGTACATTAGTGGGTGAAGGGTAGGGTGGGGGTTAATCCTTTGGAGGCAGTTTGTGAATCCCAGCCACCACAGGTAACCTAGGGCTGGAGTTTCCATTTCCAACATGTCTCCAGGGCTTCATTATTCACTCTATTACCTGGAGCTGACCATAAATTAAGTCTGTCACCCTGCCTACTCCCAGGGGCATGATAACAGGATCAGTTTTCACCTGGTTAATGACCTCGAAATGACCTTAATTGGGCTCTGGATCCATGCCTTGGTCTTGGGCCAATTAATGCTGTGAGTGATGTTTTTGTGGTCTGCATGATGGAAGTTACCCTTTCTGATGAGCCAAATTTAAATATGCACACAACCAACATTTTTTCTCTCACATTCAAAACCCCCAGCCATATGACCTATCATTCATAAAGCCACAGTATTTTTTTTCATACACATCACATGAAATAATTGATGAAGTGTGCATGCAATTCATTCATTTTAATTGGACAGTACATGTGAGTGTATGGCTTTCAGTGTCATAATGGACTGATAATAGGCCTACACTTCAGCAACAAATGCTTACATATATACCTCAATTTTGAATCATTTTTATATTTCCTGTACATTCTTAATCACTATGCTGTTTACTTTTTATTTGACTAATGCTACACAAAGCTCACATTAGTCTTATTCAAAGGCTGACCTATATCTGTCCTAATGTGGAAAAAGGCCCAAACTGACCTCAAACACGACTGACCCACAAGGCCCACATCACAATTAATTAATACCTTCAGCAGAAGCCCCTCCGGATTCAAAAGCAAGGAAGTCATGAGGGTGGCAATCTCCGGTGAGTAGTCCCTGGTCCACCTGTTGAGGCCATACAAGTCCTTCAGCTGTGCTAGGAACCGTTCACTGGCACACAGCACTAAGCTAGAAAAAAAGAAAAGCAGAAAATCCAAATCATAAATTTACAATGATTTATCCCCCCATGACAGGAAGTAAAATTTCATATGAGCTCCAGGCAGCTAACTCTTGAAATGGCAAAGAATTCCACCTTTGAATGTTTCTCGGTCTCTATGACAACTCATTCAAATTTATGACTGTCCTTTAAGTCTAACATTACATTCCAACCATGTAGTTTCCCCAGTTCCGCTCTATATGCCTCGGGAGGATCCTAAACCAGAATGCTACATCCTGAAGCCCTCTAACTCTGAGAATTCTAAACATGATCTTGGGGGACAACCTCTTGGTAACTGGGTTGAAATATTTTGGTCGCTGTTCACTTCTGGGAGAAAAACATGACTGTTCTTATCTCCTGCAACTCTCTGAAAGTGTTTAATATTGTTTTTAAAACCAA